GTAGCAGCAGTAGCAGTAGTAGTAGAAGTAGTAGGAGAAGTAGTAGTAGTACTAGTAGTACTAGTAATACTAGTACTAGTACTAATACTATTACTGCTACTACTACTGCTACTACTACTACTACTACTACTACTACTACTGTAGAACAATTATTTGAGCTAGATGGCCAAGCAATCTTGCAACGCCGACTAGTTTACCTTCTAGACCAAGATTGCAAGGGGGAGCAAGATTGCCAGCAATCTTGCAGTCATGGTCTTCGGCCAAGAGCGGGGCAAGTGGGCCAAGATGACCAAGATTGCCAAGATTACCAAGATTGTTCCGAAAAATAGTTGTTCTAACAATGCCCTGGGATTCGGGAACCGCTATCTGATTTCTGCCGCTTGGCCACGTCACTTGAACCTCCCGAGCGTTTGGGTCCACGTTTTGCCCCACTTGTGCCACTTAACATCGCCGTTTTACCCCACTTGCCTCACTTGTGCCACTTGCAGTCCGTGAAGCTTTCAGTGATAGTAGTAGCAACAATAGCAACAGTACCAATACAGTAACATGGTACAGTAACAATACCTAAATTTGGTGAAGGGTTGCTTCCGTCGAGCGACAGACCCCGAACGGCTTGGCCGAGGGCTCACAAAGCCTTTTCGAAACTGAAAGGCAGTGGCTCGAGCAGCCAGAAACCCAGAAACTGCAGGGTCCTTTTTGTCAAGGCCACGCAAAAGAAGCTGCTGACAAAACCGATGATGTCAGAGGCTTTCGTGGGTCTCCCCCATTTCGATGGCTCAGACGGCCGAAAAACGCACAACCCAGAGAGCTAAAAGCGTGCACACGCTGCCATAGAGACAGGCCCCCTTCAGAGAGGTTTGGGGGTGACCAGTGAACCCTAAACCCTAAATGACCATAGTTTGGGAGTCTTCGAGCGACGCGAGAATGCAGACCGGGGTTTGACCGGCAGCGCAAAATACAAAAAAACTACATTCCAGCATCAAATGTGTTTCGGCTGCTCATAGAAACACAAAAACGATGATTCCAGAATCAATTGTGTTTCAATCGGGGCATCGGCCTGAGCCGAAATTAACTTTGGTTCATTTGTCGGTGAGAGCACAGAAAAAACCGAAACCCGATCAAAACTCACCAAAAACTGCACAAAACCCATCTGAACCCAATGGAATATCTATAAACACTTCCCCTAAACCCTATAACCCCAGACCTTCAAACCCTGAACCCCCTCAATCCTGAACACTAAAACCTTAAACACTACAACCTTAAACCCTGAAACCCTGACCCTAAACCCTAAATGACCCCAAAACCCTAACTCAAAAAATCCTGAACCCTGAACCCCGCACAAGTGGCAGTGGCGCCCACCCCTGAAGTGGCACAAGTGGCGAGTAGCACATGCCAATCTTAAACCCTAAACCCCGCACAAGTGGCACAAGTGGCGCCCACC